CTTCTCTGTGATCCCCCATGATAAAATTGAAGAGACTGGTTATATTCCCCCATAGCCCCCAGCTTAGCCTTCCCTAGGCTGAACAAGCCCTGCTCCCTCCCCCTCTCCTTCTACATCAAGTGCTCCAACCCACTAATCATCTCAGTGATCTTTACTGAACTCTCCTATTTTTCAGCATCTCTTTTACACTGGGGTGCCAGAACTAGTCACTGTCCAGGTGTGGTCTCAGAAGTGCAGAACAGAGGGGAGTAATCACTTCCCTCAACCTGCTGGCTGAAATGCAGCTGGCTGTGCAGTTAGCTGAGTGAATTTTAACAGCCAAGCTATACGGTTTTTTTCCTTCAGGCTGCCACTTGGTAGTGGTGTCTGGATGTCTGAATGAGAAATTGCATTGGCAAGATTGTGTGAGCTGCAGAGAGAAAAATGGAGCCAGATACATCTCATCACACAATATTGTCCTAGCTACTCATCACAAGCCAGCAGCTTCATTCAGGTTGCTCAGGAACAATAAGCTCCTTGTGGGGACCCCCAGTACAGCAACAGGTTGGCTTTAAGAGTTGCCTTTGCCTTGATCCGTTCAAGTGATATCGTAAGTTAGACTCCTCTGAATTGCCTTTTGGAAGAGCTCATTGCATGGGGAGACTGGGAAGCTGAGTCTCCTGATTCACAAAGCTGAAGCTAGGTAGTGTGAACATGCCCCAGGGAGCCACATTGCCAAAGCTTTGTTGAAAGAGAGAAGAAAGACCACTTCCCCGCCATTGATGTGGTAATGGCCTCCAGAACACTGAAGTGTGGCTCTGTCAATGACGCACTGATTGCTATCTGAAAGTCAGTCTTCTGGGATATGAATGGAGGCTATTTTGTTCTTCTTCAGTTCATAAATTAGTGCATCTGAGTAGCCAGTGCCTGTGAGGGAGAGAACAGCTCAAGTGGTGAGAAAGCACGGCTTTCTCATGCTTCTGTCTTTGTGCATTGGCCATGGGTGAGTGGCCTGCTGATTTCATAAGAAGCCCTGTTCAGAAGTGAGCGTGGGTAAAGTTGGCATCTTTTATCTGAGTGCCATCTATGTAGGATATCCAGAAGTCAGGATTCCCCTTCTCTCACAGAACAGGCTGTGACCCCGGACTGAGCTGGCGCTGAGGGTCCCAGCTCCAGTCTCATTCATAAAGGACTTCCCCTCAATGACATACTGATGGTGACATATGCTGCAGCATCTCTCCATATAGTACAAGTGATGCTACCTTCAAAACGGAAATCCTGAGCCCAAATAAAATAAAGTAACAATAAAACTTAACACAGTAGGATGTTCCAGGGAATCTTTAAACAAAGGTTCCTGCACAGTACCTGCAGCACTGCAGTGAATTTAGAAATGCTGTTGGTGTCCTCCACTGCTTACAGTGGGTTTGTCATTTCAAAGTCCAGGTTTCTTTTTTCCCTTTTAAAGTTGCTGTCTCTAAAATATTCTACTTGACATTTTCTCTACACTAACAGGAATTTTTTTGTTGATTCTGGAAGCATTTGAGAACCGGGGAAATTGGCCAAGACATTCAAAAGTTAAATTAAAATCTGACTCTGCAAATAGCCAGTGTCACTGGTGTGAATAACTTCACTCCTCAGTTAAAGATACTGAGGGAAAACAGAGAACTGTATCAGACAGAAATGCAACTTAACGCATACAGATAAAAATAATCTAGGGTTGGCTAGGGTGACTTCCAAAGAAGATATTGGATATTTGGATCAAAAATTATTGATAGCAGTGGAGGAATTGCTGATGCTGTCGGTTAAGATCAGGACATTCCTAAGCTTGCTCTGCACTGGTGGTTGTGAGCTTTGTAAAACATTCAACTGCATAAGAACAGGATTTACGGGTAGGTAATCTGCAGCAGTCATTTTGGAAAGCTTTAATCATGGGTTAATTTTGGTGTCAGGAGTTTTTGTGTGCACTTATGGATTAAAGAACGTATGATATGTCTAGAATTCAGAGAGGGATGAAAACAATCCTCATGGTATATATCATCTTTTCCTGCTTGGAAGTGTCACTGATGTTGATCGGAACAACTGTGCCAGTTTCCTCTTGAAAAGTGTTCATTTACTGAAAACCAAATACATGAAATGTCATCCCTAGTGATACATTTGTCTCTGCATCTGTGCCCACATCTTCTGGGGCCAAAGTTTCCACATTCTTGCTTCTTCCAAAGCTGTTGCGGTGGAAGCCTTTCTCCTTTATAGCAATGTCAGGCGTTTCTCAGTAAAAAACAAACAAAGCTATTTTCCATTTCAGAATGCAAGATGTAATATCTCTGGAGAGATTAACCTTCTTTCCAGAGTTGTTTTTGTGGTTGAAAGAATAAATCTGTTATCATTAAAAAGAAAAAAAAGATCTTCACCTCATTATTTCCAGAAATAAAGATGACACAATGAGATTTATTAAGAATTGATTCTCAGTGAACTAAAGAAAGATCCAACCCCAAAGACTTTGTGTTCTAGAAAAAAGGCAGAAAGACAATAGGATGGACACAGGGGACGCTGGAAGAGGGAATTGCTCTGTGATATTAGTAAGAAAATATGTTCTTTTGAGGAAGGACTCTGAGAATTGGCTTGGCAAATGTGGCAGGAGAAGTTATTCAAACCTGCTTCATGTGTTAGGTTGACTGAGCTCAGTTGCATGAGGCAGAGATGTGAGAGATGCACAAAGTATCAGGAGTGGCATGGCTGGGAGGAGAGATTCGGGAGGAAATGTAGAGGGCAAGAAACATTAACATGATAACTTATCCTTTCCCACTCAGCCCATTCCCTCGGTTCCCTCTCCTGCTTCTCTGCCATAACTGAGCCCCTGGTTAGCTGCTGGATCCCCATCCCACTGACAGTGGCTCCTTGCTGAACCACCAACTCTTAGAGCAGCAGTAAAAATATTCCTCCACATATCCATGAGAAGAAACATGGTTTGGCATTTGGCAGTCACAGGATTGCAGATTTAGTGCTGAGGCAGCAGGTTTTGTGAGCAGACTGGCTTCTCATGTGCACTACCTGGGATGCCAAATTTCTCTGTGGCTTTTCTTTCAATTCTGTACCCCCTCCTGCACCTCTGGGGGGTGGGCCATTCTTTTTTTTCTTTTTTGCTTTGTTTTTTCCTTCTCTTTTACCTTGGGGCCATCAACAGGTTTGTTTCCTGATCTCTGTGCAGGGTGTCTGCTTTGAAGACAACTCACCTTTTAGTTACTGCAGGAATGTGAGGAATGAGGCCCCATGGCCCTGGCCTATCACCCAGCCAGGCTGTGTTTGTACATGCAGTGGAGAAGGAGCAAGGTGCTTGCAGTCCCTGGGAGCAGACTCTGCCCCTGCAGGCACTGCTTGGTGGGCAGCAAAGGGAAGATGGCAGTGGCATGTGAGGGGGACAGGGATGGACTTTAAATGCATATCAGAGCATTTCACTACACTGAAAAGTACTCGTTGGTAGTGCCAGCAGCAATATAGCCATATAGCTACAGATCACAATCCACCATGTAGAGTTTCAACTTGTTTTAACAATTAAGTTTTCTTGACAATATTAATGTCTGAGGCAAATCCATGGTAAATCAGTCTGGCAATAGGAGTGGGTTGCTGATCTGGCTGAAGTGGCTCTGGGATATTTGCAAGAGTGGGTGGGTTGGCTGGGCAGGAGGAGAGGGTTAGTCCTACCTCCACGTATCTGTCATGAATGTTGGTGACACTGTGTTCATATTTCCCCTCACAACTGCATCCACCAAGAGGGTGAACAGGACAAAAGAGCTTTGGTGAATCCAGCTGTCACAGTGGAGACAGTTATGTGCCCCATTTGCCTGCCCTGCTCCCTCGTGCCAGGGTGGGCAGTGTGCCATGCTCCAGCCACTCTGGCTCACAGCTGGGTATTTGGGCTTAAACTACAGGCAGCCGTGAATTTGTGCTTGTGCACCCCGGCTCTGCAGTGTGCAGGGGCAGAGGCACATGTTCACTTCCACCAGAAAACAGCCGGAAATGGGGAGCATCCTAAACTTCTCTCCCTGTTTGCAGGTGCATGTAACTTAGGCTTTTGCAGTGACACTTGAGATGGTTGTTTGTCTGTATGACTGAAGCAATAATCCAGTTGTCACGTCCACAGAGGGAGGAATGTCTTGCACCCAAACCTAGTTCTTCATGACTGGAGTGACTGCTCTGGGTTCCTCTTATGATAAAAGTAGGACTTTTAGAGCACATTGCTTACAGCCTATTTCTGATGCTGTTATGTGCTGCTGGCGGAGGGACCTGGTGCCCCTGTTGTGTGTGTGGATGGGCTGCAGCTGAGGAGCAAGCCTTTTCCTCGCTGTGAACACCGAAGTCTGTCACTCAGGAAAGCTTGGCTAATGTGGCCTACCTGTAACCTGTGTGTGACTAGCAATCCTAATTACCCGTGCAAATACTCCCAAGGCTGGAGGAGATCCCATGCTACAGTCTTATCTGGAGAGAGACTAAGCAATCCTATTGCCTCTCCTAGAACATCAAGTCACTGCATCACTTCAGGGCACAAAATGGGACTAAAACAATCCAAACTCTTACCCCTTCCATAATTACCTGGCTAATGAGCCCAAAGACCCTTACTCTCTCGTCAGTCACTGGTTCTGATTTTACTTAATATAGTCAGCATCTGAGCAGATAATATGCTAGCCATCAGTCAGGCTGAACGGTAGTAAAGCATTCAACTGCATAAGAACAGGATTTACCCTTGTTTTGCTGTGCTGCACCTGCAAAGTGGTATTCCCTGAACAAATAGCCATGATGTCAAGGGGACCCAAGTACTAGTTAAAGTATGTGCTCTTCACCTCTTGGCAGAGAAGAGCAGCACTGACTGAGTTTGAACAAAATCAGTCCTTCAGTGGGGGGTTTCTTGCTCCTTTTTGCACTTGTCCAGGACACCCCTGGGGGATGCTGTCTCCTGAGAAGGGGTAGAAACACTCGTGATGGAAATTACACTGATAGTCTTCCTTCACCCTTGATTCCCTTTGCAGAGCACAGTTGGAGAGAATCGATGGCTTCAAGGGCACCTGATACAGTTGCTAATCCATTACTGTGATTTGAACACAGCAGCAAGATGGGCACAACGCTGCAATTTGCCCAAGGAGGTGCTGCCTTATGGAGTGGCTGATGAGCTTCAAAAGCTTCAGATCCAAGAGAGGTAAATACTCTGTTTCATGCCTTTTTAGTGTAGATTGCTTATCATACAAAGACTACATACTTGCTTAAAATAATCTGCTATAATACATCCTTGGGGAGATAATTTTGCAAAAGCTTCCTCCATTTACTCAGATCACATCTTGGCCATGTACATGCTACATTTGCTTTTCATAAGCCTGGAAATGTCTGTGAAAGGTACATTTTAAATGCAGTCCTCAGTACTTAGAAGCTGTATGAGATTGCGTCGTGATGCAGAGGGGTTTTCAGACTCTCTCTGCCAGATCAACAGCTCAAATGAAATTACATGGATAAGATCTGGATATGCGTCTGTCTTACTGAGTTGATTACACATCTGTCAAAGTTTATGTACTCTGCATCCCCCACTGTACTGCAATCTGGTTTAATCCCTTTTTAGGAGACTTAGGGCCAATAAAATAATTTTAAAGTTCCTTAAATTTTTCTAACTGTATTTATTTTCTTGCCCCCTTGACATCTTATAAGCCATTTTTCATCCCAGTCTGTAATTTTTGCCTCATCCAAAGCTCTCAGAAGTAATGGGAGTTTTTGACATTTGGGGTCAGATCCCGGAAGAGTCCCATTAATTGAATTTAGGATAAAACCGGACTCTCCAGCGCAAATTTACCAAGTGAGCTTAAGAAACCTTTAGCCCCCTAATTAGTCTCTGTTCCCATTTCTTCCTCTAATGCAATCCCAATAACACAGTGCCATGGTTCCTCTCCTGCTCTGGGACCCCAATGTTTTACGCAGCAGTTGCTGCAGATCCTCTCTCAATGGGAACTTCATCCTTTGCATGAACTGAAACAAGAGTGCAAAGGCAGAGGTACAAAAAAAGAATTGTAAAATCCTTATATTAAGAAGGGTTCTTATAACTCCTTGATTTGAAGTGCACAGAACTGTGCAAAGCGCTCCAGTCAAGGATCTCTGTGAACCTACTGGTGTAGGAGGAGCAGAGAAGAAGGATAGAGGGAAGAGGGTGGCCAGGTTCCATGCTGCATGTAGACAAAGCTGTGCAAAGTTGAAAAGAGGCTCTATATTTCAGAAGGCCCATTTAGTCACCTAAACTGTTAGGAGCTGTCTGATCCCCCCAGCAAGCTGTATCTGGAGGAATACCAAGGCTTTGTAGTTCTGGTTCTGGGTATTCTCTGCTGTGTCTTTTGAAGAAAATGGCCTAAGATCACCCCCTTCATGCAACAACATCCCAGGCACTTGCTCAGCTATGCTATATGGAGGAAGAAGGGCTATATTTGAAAAAAATGTCTCAATGCAAAAGATCTGCTGTGCCCCAGTAATTCACTTTTATACTCATGTGAGTGATGGTATCTTGGTATCTGCCATTCTTCAGTAACTCTGTCCATTATATTTTTAAGCAAGTTATTCAGAAATAACCATGTTTGGCACCCTTTTTAAAAACCTTTTCTTTTTTTCCTGGGGAAAAGCCTGCACATATGCAGGCTACTGCAAGTCTTGTGGAACTGCAGAGCTTGCAGATGATACTGCATGAGGGTGTTGTGAGGATCTCACCCAGGACTGCGCAGATCTGGAACCTCAGGCTGGATGAGGGCTGGCTGGTAGTCCCGTCAACACAGGGCTCAGTAGCCTCTGTGCCCATGTGTGTTTGAGCCAAACTCCTGCAAGGCTGCAGGCTACCACAGTCCTTGGGTTCAGAGTAATTACCCCACCACCTTGCTGGCCAGCTACCATCAAACGTAATTTTCTCCACTCATTCCTGTGCAGAAATTCATCTGGTTGGATTCTGTGCAGAGAAGAGGACTTATCCCTGAATCCTCAATGCAAACAGGCGAGCTCTGGGCTGTGTGGTTGGAGGGCAGCACAGCTCAAAGCCTTGCTGTCACTCCCGGAGCGATCACATTTCCAGGTAGAGTCAAGGCTTTTGTCAAAAACAGAAGAGAGGAAGCAGTGACAATTTTGGCATTCCTTTAGGACTCTTCCACTGTGGTACACATCAGTCACCTTACTGCATGGTGGTGTCCTTGTCTGGACTTGGCACCACTTGCCTGATGTTTCCCTCTTACCCTCACTGGTGAAATATGTTGGGGGCTTTTTTAGCATGGAGATTGGTGATTCTAGTTCAGAAGCCAGGTGAGATTAGAGGAAGGGTTGTGGGAAAATCTTGACCACTCCCAAGCTCACATGGAGCTGAACCTCTCAGTGTACATAGTGGAAATCTGAATCTGATTTGAAATGGTCTGTGTGTCCAGGAGGAGTTGGTGATGCTATCACACACTGCTGTATGGGGAGGAATAAAGCCAGCAAAAGTCGATGATCCCTGAGTAGCAAGTTGGGCTCTTCCAGCACTGTGCTCTTGGTGTGGGAAGCAGGGGCAGGGTCCCTGTTGGCATGGCTGTTGCACGAGTCTGCACGCCCATGCTCATCTGCTGCCTCACATGGTTACATGCAGATGATTTGAGTGCTTCCTTTTACCTTATGTTCTTAGTGCAGGACTTTCCTACTGGTGTCATATGTCAGATGTATGAACTCCAGCTAACAGTTGGGATCTGTCACTGGCTGCCTGGTTAATGCTGACACCTCACTAGAGGATAAGGAGACTATTTTAAGAAGACCAGCCTGAGACTGAGTGAGGTTACCTGCTCCAACAGGTTTATCATGAAGTTGGTTGTTTTGTACATTACAGCAAATTTCCATCTCCTGGAAGAGATGTTTGTGCAAAAACTGCAGCTTTCATAACTAAAAATTGTATTTTTAGAGCATAGATTGGACTAACTTGAATTACGCAGAAGGTGACTGAGAACATAGTGTATTATTTTTTAAGGCTGATGATTTTGGGATGGTCTCACAGATGGCCTCGAACAGTTCATGTGCTGAGCTTCATGGGTCTGATCTTTCTCCTAGTGCAGGTCTGCACTGCTTCACGTTCAAGCCCCATGGAACTTCTGGAAATACAACACAGATGTAATCACCCTCAAAACACTGTCTGCAAAGGCCCGCTTCTCCAGATGGTACATGGCTTTCTTGGAGCACAGGAAACTCTTGTCTTTCTAGAACATGTGTCTGCTTAGCTCTGGCGCATGGCTGGAGCTGCTCTCTTCCCTCCTAAAGCTGCACCAGCCGCCACTTGGGAACCAGAGGTTTTTGCATGAGCTGTAATCCCTCAAAACACAAAGGGCTGATCAACAGAAGTGTGACTTAGCCACAGATTTTGTGCTTCTAGAAAGATAAAAAACATTAGTACATCTCTCTGCTCTGGGAGTCCTGCATCGTATATGGGTGGAGGGAAGGCATGCTGATTAGGATGTGCTCTGCCATTCCTGAGGAGTTGGGACAGATGAGTAAAACCCTTTGTGTCCCGGTTTACTCAGTCAAGATACCTGCTGCAGTAGCTGCTATAAAATCAGCAGAGCCATGGAACCTAATAAAACAGTCTGTCTGCCTTATTTATTGAGCTAACAAAGCAGCAGGTTCCCAGAGAGGGTGTCCACACTGTAGAGAACAAGGTGGTACCAGCATATAAATTACATCATCTCTGCTAGTCATACCATATGCAGCTCCTGAAATCTGCAGGTGAGAATATTCCTGGAGACCTGAGACTGCACTCCTTCATTAAATATTTTACACAAATATTGACTTCCCCATGCACACAAACCCATGGAAAAGAGTGTTTGTACAGTGAAAGCTGTTATGCTACAAAATTAGTCACACAGTCCCCTAAACATAAGGTTAGTAAATAGTTTCTCAAATAATAAAACATTTCAAGTCTCTGTGGGAAAGAGACTATCCAGAAATTTGTATTATGTCCAAAATAGCTGGATACTTTTTATTAGTTTCTTTCCTCTGATTGCATCATCTGGCTGAGACACCACAGCAATACTCTGACCTTCCAGTTACAAGGCCATTTCAAGATACTCTGTTGCATTTTGAAAATAAAATGTGCTGTGTAAAGATCCTGTTGTAGGAAATCAGTTAGCTCATTTCTGCATACATCTTCCAGCGTTCCCAGGGTATTAATACACAGATACTGAATTCCTCTGTGCAGTGCCATCTGAAACCCAAATGGAGGGAGTCGCACAAGCAAGGCGCTTGGTCTGTGGGTTCAGCTGGCTGCCTTCCCCTAAATATAGAAGGTGTTGAAACTTTATTTCTGAACTTTTCTCATTTCATCCCTGTGCAACGTAGGACAAATGGTGCAACCAATGTGGACATTTTACAGGGAGGGGGATGGAGAAGAAGCTGGACAGCGTTGGGGAGGTCTGTGAAGCCTTCCTAAGCCATTGCACTATAAAATGATGAGGCAGATTCACCTAGTTCCAGCTGGTGATCTTGGTGTGGAGCAGTCTGAGAGTGTCTTTCTGAGCCAGTTTATGCTGTGGAGAAGTGTGAAGCTCCTGTTTAGACACAGTGCTGGTCAGAGCTGACATCTCTGTTATGTATTACACCGTGGGAGCTAGCAGACTTCCATGTTAACCTCCAGGGCAAAAAGCAGTAAATCTAAAATGTGTTATCTCTGAATGTGGAAACAGCTGCCCAGCTTTGTCATCCAAGTTGCATCAGTTCTGGGAAAGAGAGCTGAGCATTGAGGCCAGGGCTTGGGATTCTGACTCCAGCAAGTGTTTCTGTTTGGGTGTTCCCTGCAGCGGGTATAGTGCATGTGCATGATAAGGTCTTGGACATAGTACCATTTCTGTGACAGGAATGAAAAGAGAGGATAAGTCAAGATGAAAGAGATTGAGATTACAGGGAAGGTGAGGAAAGAGAGGGTAAGAGAAAAAGTTGAGTAGCTTGGGGAAATAGAGGACCACAGTGAAATAAGGAGCTTAAAACTCCCTGACATTTCTCCACTCCAGGATTGGCTCTCATTGCATGGCTTAAAGCTGTTGCATCTGATTCTGTGTAGGGTAGAAGATGCCTCAAAAGCAGATAATTATGAAGAGAGTAAGAAGAAGGACTATTACCAGCTTCCTATTCCACGGGCAAATATTCACTTCCTGCAAACTTGGGAAGAGATGCTGCAGTGCTGGGAAAAGGTGCTGCAGGTGAGTGTTACTCTGGTATTTACTTTGCAGGGTCAAGGAGCAGTAACTCCATAGCAGGCTGGTGCACAGGGTTGTATGTGGGCCACTGCCGTCAAATGTCACCCTCCCCAAGTCAAGGACAGCTGCTTCCTCTAGGCTTGTCTGATTTGGGGAATGTGTTGGGAATTGCTGTGCCAGGAAGGGTCTCCCCAGGGGTAACTCAGGTGTGCTGTGAGAGTTACTTGTCTCTGTAGCAGTTTGCACACTGGCAAAGAGATGCAGCTGTTGGAAAGGAAATGCTTGTCTTCTGGACAGGGACTGTTCAGGCTACTTTCAAGTGTAGACAGTCTCTAAGTGAAGAAGGGTTTTGTCTGTGTTACAGCCTGGGCAGGTCGTTGGCATCGACATGGAGTGGAGGCCTTCGTTCGGTATGGTCGGGAAGCCCCGTGTCTCCCTCCTTCAGATGGCTCTGAAGGATGAGGTGTTCCTGCTCGACTTGCCACGGCTCCTTGAGCAAGCTGAGGTGGAGGGTGAAAAGGAGAAGCTTCCCCATTTCATCCAGATGCTCTATTCAGATGCGGCCATTACTAAACTAGGTAATATGCCTCTCTTCTCCCTGCCTCATGTCTTTACACAGCTTTTTTTGTGTAATTAATTCCTAGATCCTTTTGGGGTTGTCATTCTCTAAATCCACTTATCACAGAACCAGCCTTTGTAGCCCAGGGTGTTCACATACTGCCATGCCAGGAAGCAGGATGACCAGTGTAACTAGGAATGGTAGAAACACTTCCCCATTTCGGGTCAGACCCAAGATTTCTGATTTAGCCTGCCCCCTCAAACTTGGGATTGTTTTAGTTCCATACTAAACACCAACTTGCACCCAACCGTCTAGGGAAGTCTGCTATCCAGAGCTTTCTGGACTTGTTGGCCCTGTCCCAAAGGTTCTGTGCTGGACACCAGAGCTCTCCTGCTTACCATACAGATTCTTTTTGGAGGCTTTTGGCAGGAGTTGTTAAACTTGGAGTTGAAGGGCAAATTCATAATAGCCTTTCACTGAACTGACAGATTTTAAGTAAGTTGATCTTAAACTCAGCATTTTTCATCCACCTCTCCCAATATTGATCTGCAAGACTATCTTTTAGGAACAGGAGAGACAGGAGTCTTCCTTGTTCCCTATCTTCCACCAATGTTTATACATATATTGTCAGCATTTTGACTCTGAACTAGAAAACGCTGTGGTCTCTTAGCGATGATTTGAGTTTTCCTACCTGTGTGATTTGGACTTTTTTTATCTCCAGGTTATGGGATGTCTGGAGACCTTAGCAGCCTTGCAGCCACATGGTCTGCTTTGAAAGACATGAACAAGCAAGCACAAAATGTGGTGGACCTACTCACAGTAGACAAACAAGTAAGAATTAACACATAAAGATGTGGAAAATTGTGTCTCCTGCATATGCTCCTAGATAACTGTCATGAATCCACAGCATTGTCTGTTTGTATCCCATACTGGCAGGGAGATGGCTAAATGAGTAAATAGATATTTTCCGCTTGTGATTTTGAGGGTAATGTGATTCTGTAAAGAAAGACAGAAGCTTTTAGTTTTCATCAACTAAAAAGTTAGAGCTTGATATACTAATATCTTTCTTCACAGTTTTATAAAAGGTACGAAAAAAATTGAAATGGAGATGTAGCTCCATTCAGCTAGGAGAAAGTTTCTAAGCATAAGTCATACTTGAACTCAGTAAGACTAAATTCTTGTAGAAATTCTGATATTCCAGGATCATGCAGTATTGAAGCAGATATTACGGAGTTAATGATTTGTAGAGAACTCATAATGTTTGTAGGAGAGCTACTGGTAGATTCAGCACAGGAATTTCTGTTCAGCTAAAGTACAGCTGCCTCTGGGTTTGCACACAGTAGATTTTAGCAGTCTGCAGAAACGTTAAGGACAACCATTTTAATGGGTAAAATTTACAGAGTGTGTTTCAGGCTGTTTGCTGGGGTGAACCCAGATCTTTGGGACTGATAACCTGGGAAGGGCTGCAGGGTCTGAAGTACCTGCCAGCAGCTATCGCCTCAGTTTAATCTGAGAAATGGCAATTTCAGAAAGGCCGTTGCCCACTGTGTTACAGAAATACCATTTCTCACTGGAGTTAGGAGGAGAAATGTGATGAACCGCCACTGCTATCTTTTATTGAATTGGTGCCCAACAGCCTCCAGCATGGCTGAGCACCCTGCAAACCTTTGAGAAGTCACAGTCACAGCCCCACTGCACTAATGCAGTGCTGCACGACAATGCACTTTTTTTCCTTCCCTGGCTGTGAAACAGATTTCTTTCCAGCAAATGTGTTTGTTAACCAAATAACCAGACGCCGTATATATCTAATGTCATCCCAGCCCTTGTCTGAGACAACGGAATTCAATATGCCAGGCAAGAGATAAAAATCATAGGGTTGCTATGTGGCCCCACCCACTGGAATAGGAGGTGTTGCAGAAGATGTTTTATAACCATGTGTTTTATGTCCTTCTCTTTCCATCAGCTGCAGAAGAGCTCCATTGACTGGAAGAAGGGCGGCCAGAAGGTCGATGTACTGTCCCCAGAGCAGCACTGTGAGGATAGAGAGTTCAAGCAGCCAGAGAAAGGACTCAGCCTCTTGGTGCAACATGTGCTGGGGAAACCTCTAGATAAAACAGAGCAGCTGTCTAACTGGGAGAAACGGCCTCTCCGGGAGGAACAGATCCTTTATGCAGGTCTAGTCTCTGACTCTGTGGGAAGGTGCTACAGATTGTCCATTACAGGCTGTGTTTGTCTGTTCTCTGTCACCAGAAAACTCATTAAGTAACAAACGAAGAAAATGGCTTTGCAGAGTTGTTTCTGTTCAGAGAAGCCAGGATATGTTATGTTTGTCCTTTTGTGGACATGGCTTTAATGGTTGAAGTTTAAACTGCCCAGTGATTCATTATTTCCCTTATGAAGGAATTCCTGTGCTTTGCAGATTTTGTCTGATGAAACATCACCTCGGTGGAAACTCCTCTCAGTAACTGAAAGGAAGAAAGTCCACTTCCTTCTGCCTCATTTCACAGACTTTCTGGGAAACAAGTGCTGCAATCGTCATAGTGAAGTGCTTGTTAGAGCAGGGTTAAAAATGGTAGATATGGTGTCAGAAACTGCAGCACAGAATCAGTACTGTGGAGAGACCAGTGGAGTTCATTGTTGATTACCCCAGAGTCAGAAGTCTGGGTCTAAATCTTTTCCTGGGGCATCATAGGACAGTCTACTGAAGAAACCAGCCCTTTGTTAAATTCAACTATCCTTGAAGCTGACACAGTTCCCACAAGAGTTAATCACTAGAACTTGTTAAACTGGCTTGGAGACTTAGACAGTTCCCGTTGCAAGGAACAGAAGCCGCATGGCAGTGCGTGTGGGCAGGTGAATGCAAACAACTCGGTTATTACTTTTCAAGATATTGCATCTAATGGGGAAGTTACCTTCCCATAGCTGAAATGCAGTAATAAACTGTGGGCAAGCCGCTGCTCAGTAACAATAGCGAGTGAAATGGGTTGGCTGAAGCTATCTTACATGGTGGTTTGTACAGACGCAATTTGCATTGTGTTACAGTCAGATAGCAGAGGGCCTGTCTCTTGTTGAGCCCCTCTGCCCTAACTCTTTGTGATCATGTGTTAGGTTATGACACCTACTGAACCAGTAAAGGAGTGCAGGCTCTGACATTAGTAGGAGCTTCACAGGTTGTTTGCATTCAGTGGCATTTACAGAGGTGAGGGCTATTCCTTGCTCAGGAAAGCCTCTGTTTTACTTTTGAATTAAACCAGCTAAGGCTCATATTCCCTTATTTTCAGCTTCAGATGCGTACTGTTTGCTGGAGATTTATGAGAAACTCTGTAAGGATCCAGCGAGCTTTGGTCTGAGTTCAGACCTGACTGGGAGTCTGGTGGGAAAACCGAGCGTAAAACTCAGGGCAAAGAAGCAGCTGAATAAACAAGAAGTACCATCACCTTCTGGACAGGTTTGTAAACATCTTCAAAGAACTGCATGTTGCTCAAGAGCCCTGCAAATCATATGTTGCCTTGTCTCTCAGTCATACTTCTAGGTATGCATGGCATGCCTGTTTGTAGTCTGTTCTCAGGACTATTGCAGCAAACATCTTCCTTGCTCCTCCCCTTTACTGGTAAGATGTGCTTTTTCCTTTGTGTGCCTTGGGTCAGCTTTCCCTAAAATTTTAGGTTCGTTTGTCTTTGCAGAATGATGGTGCAGGTCTGCATGGCAGAATCCAGCTAACCTTCCTGTTGGAAATGCTCCTTCCACACTTCCTCAGCGGTGTGGACTTGAATTCTGTGGCCTAGGTGTTGCATCACTGAGGCTTCAAAACTCTTAACTTCCTTACTTTTGCTTTTAACTGAGCATTCACACTTTGGTTTCACATTGGGAATGACTACTTTACTGTGTCTGGAGTAGAAGTCTGCAAACAAAGAATCCCTTGAAAAATTTATTCTGGTGATTGCATGTCTCTGTCTCCCCACCTACCATCACATACTCCATGACTGGCCTCCCCCTGCGATATATGTTGTGGCAGAGCCTTAAAACTCCACCCTACATAAATTGGAGCTGTGTAATTCTGCTTAAATATCTTGAAATGTGACTGGACCTTCTCTCTTAGTTATCAAGTTTTACTTTTAAAATGCAACCATCCGGTTGTTTATGCACCTATGAAAACATTAGCAGAAAAACAGTTTTATTTATTAACTGAGAAGACTCACTATGGCTGTGTATCCTTCTGAGTAGTCCCAGCTGTGTATTTAGCTTCTGAAGTCAATACTACCTTCCATGGCTGGGCTGAGATGCTATTGATTATAGCCACCTTTTCAGGATCCTCCTTATCAAGTGTGTGTAAATGTACAGTATGCCATTAGTCTTAGTCAGGCAGTAAAGCACAAAGCTCCTCAGTAGTTTCCTAAGCACTCCGTGTTCATGGGAATATTGTATGTTACAACAGATCTGACTGGCTGCTGCAGAGATGGGAAAAGTAAGTACTTCAGGCTTGAATTACCTTGTGAACTCACAGGTCATCTTTGTGTTCCGTACAGTCAGATTCATTAACTGAGAGGTAGTTGGTAAAACCTGGACTGGGTCTCAAAAAACCAGACTTCTGGCTCTGCATCCTGCATGACTCCAAGCTCTCTTTCCCGGTGTTTCCTGGTATACTATCTGAAGTGGGGCTAATGACACTATTCTCCTTTATAAGCTTTTTGCTCTCTGCTGGCATGAAACGTGAGAAAAAAGCTACATATGACATTGCTGGCCATTGAATAAACACTAGCTAAGAGACAGCTGCTGCTCCTTTACATCTGTTTGAACAGAAGCAGCAGCGCAGGGTTAGTGTCTTCCAACTCGCTCATCACTGAAGGGTCAGCTTGATCTGTTGTCACAGCACTGATGCCTCAGGGCGCAGCTGCATCCACCAAGGTCCTTGCAGGAGGTGGTGACAGTCCAGCCTACCCAGTGCTGCAGAGCTTTGAGTGCCTGTACCAGCTTCTGGGAGGTGCAGCATCACACAGATTGATCTCTCAGATCTGAGCTAGTTTGAATGGTCAGCCTGGGTGTATCTGCATGGTGTGCCACAGCATTTCCAGGCCTGAGTTAGCTCCTGCAGAGCTAATCTGCAATGCTGCAGTAACAGGTTCCAAAGCCAGTGTAGCCCTGCATACATGGTCCTTCAGTCATCTCAGCTGATTCAAGTTTCTGGAGGCAAAAGCTGGACATTGGAGGTTCCCTAATAACTTCCATTCTCCATGAATTTAGCTATTGTGTTTCTGGGAGCCTCCCAATGACAAAGTATCCAACTGCAGGAACTCCCCCAACACCAGACATTTGAAATAAAATAAACAGAATTCAGGCACTGACTATTTTTAAACTTCCGAAGATAACAAAGCTGACGTGACTGCTTTGTCTACCTATTTCTCCCTTTGTCTCTCAGATCCCCTTCCCAAATCATAACTTTGGCATGTGTATATTAATTGCAGTCTAATCTGATAGGGAATAGCAGTCTTGAAGATGTGTTGCTGTGGATTCCTGAGAATTAATGTCTGCGTAGAGCATAGAAGGCCAAGTTGGCATTTCTCTAGGAAAGGCTGCAGATCCCTGGTTGGGTGGCCAGCTGGCCAGTGAGTGAATGTCTAATTCAGAATTAGTCATATCATGTGCTGCCTCCTGCCCAAGTGAAAGGTGGGTGATGTAGAAAGGGCATGAAGGAGGAACTAGAGGTGTTGCAGAGCATGGGGGAGACTGTAATACAGGTGGACAGTTGGATTTACCATGATGGGTGAACGCAGGGAGACAAAACAGAAATGTACTGGAAATCAGCCTTCTGTTCTGCTGCTTACGGCTCTCTTGCCTTTCTGTAGCAATGCAAAGGATCCAAAAAGGAGCCCTCATGTCCCCCTGCTCCCATCTCCCCAAAGGAATTCAGCGTGGTCTGTGATAACATGCTGCAGGGCCTCGGGCGTTATCTTCGCTGCCTTGGTGTAGATGTCCAGATGCTGGAGAATGACGATGACCACAGGAGAGCTGCTGAGGTTAGTCAAGTGTGTGTGTGTGTATCTGTGCTCCTTGGGGAAGGCCTGCTGCTTACTGTGCAACTGCACAGGTTAGTCACTCACACTGGACAGGCAGCAAGTTGGCAGAATCTGCTCAGGACATGCTTCCTCCTGTGCCTGTGCTGAGACCCAGTCCCCTGGTTCAGTCCAGGAAATTGAGCCAGTTGGCAGCTGGTATTAGCTAGTCCCTACATTAGTGTGTGGGCTTGGTTCTCCATTTCCAGAAGAGAGGAGGTGAGCAGGGAGGGCTGTGATCTCAAGTCTCATTTGTGTCTGTAGATTTGTGTCATTGACAGCTGGGATGTTTCAAGTCATTTGAGGCACACAAGCAGAGTATAAAGATGTGACCTCCAGTCTCAAGTGTCTTTGGTGGAGAGGTGGTGGTGTGTTTGCAACAAGACAAAAATCAGAGAAAGGAACCCAACATTCACTTAGGTTTCTAATGGACTCAAGTTTGGGCTTACAGAGAAGGTATTTGCCTGCCTTGTGCCTGGGTCAGTTGGACAGAACCAGTATCAAAAGATGGATGTTCAATATGAAAGGGAAAACTTCCATAATAAATTGCCACATAACGTCCTAGCTGGCTACTGCGTTATAAAATGACTCAAAAGTGATCAGCCATGACTTACAGTGAAATATTCTTGGCTGGAGAGCTGTCTGCAAGAAAAGGATCTGGGGGTTCTAATTGACAAGCAATTGAACATGAGCCAGCAGTGCCCAGGTGGCCAAGAAAGCCAACGGCATCCTGGCTTGTATTAAAAATAGCATGACCAGCAGAAGGAGGGAGGTGACAGTCCCCCTGTGTTCTGCACTGGTGAGGCCACACCTGGAGGGTTGTGTCCAGTTTTGGGCACCTCGATACGAGAGAGATCTGGAGGGGCTGGAGCGAGGGCAGAGGAGGGCAACGAGGCTGGGGAAGGGCCTAGAGAATAAACCCTGTGAGGAGAGATTGAAGGAGCTGGGACTGTTCAGTGTGAGGAGGAGAAGGCTGAGGGGAGACCTCATCACTCTCTACAGCTCCCTGAAAGGACATTTTAGAGAGGTTGGTGCTGGTCTCTTCTCACAGGGGATTGGTGATAGAACAAGAGGGAATGGCTTTAAACTGCAACAGGGGAGGGTCAGACTGGACATTAGGAAAAAATGTTTCCCAGAAAGAGTGGTCAGAGAGTGGAACAGGCTGCCCAGGGAGGGGTGGGTCGTTTAGATGAGCTGTTGGGGGATGTGGTGCAGGGAACTTTATAGAGTCAGGCTGATGGTTGGACTCGATGATTCTGAGGGTCTTTTCCAACCTGAATGATTGTGACTCTGTGATTTGGGAAAATGAGAGTCTCTAACATAGATGGGGACAATGGACATTGATCTGAACTCCCATAACAACTTTGACCCTCTGCCTTTTGGAGGAGAGACACATGCTTCTGCATTTCAGACATATTTCTACTATGCCAGAAATGGAGATAACGAGCCCACACAGTGTGTTGCTATCAAATATGCACTGATCACCCGGCCTGGTGCACAGGATGTTTCCTCTTCACATGTCTGCTTGGCCTGAATCCTGAGCAGGCTCAAGCTTCTGCAGAAATAATTAATATCTCCTCTCTGCCAAACTTACACAAGTCATTTAAACAAACTCATTCTCACTGCCTCCCCCCAGAGCCCTGTCTCCACTTCTCATCCTGATATCTCATTGTGCCATGGACAGGATATTTTACACTGCTTTCTCTATGGTGACCGGACAAACATCCTTTCACTATCAAAAGCCCTTGGAGTGTTACTGTACTGCAGAGCCTTTGATCTGTGCTTGGATAATCAAAGATAAAAATAGACTCCTCCCACCCTGCTTTATATCTGGCTAGTCCTGATTTAATATTAATAGAAGTTGAATGTTGACCACCCTACACCTGAAATCTTGTAGATGTTATTGCAAAGCACAGGAGAAAGGTTTGGATCCTGATCACTGTATACAAGATAGTTTGGGTGTTGTCCCAACACAGGCTCAAACTAATGTCACCAGGAACACATAAGTGTGTACAGAGTTAGTGTTTGTTCTTCATTGAAGTCATCTCACTAAAGTGATTTATCAGTCGTATTACACATCTCCTTGTGCCAAGAACTTCTGAATCGCCCAGCATTTGCTCCTTATTGTCCTCATTCCTGTTGCTTGTTAAAGTGATTTCGAGTATTGGTAGGCAGATGGATCTTGTCCTTCACCATCTATTATTTGAGATCAAACTTAAAAGCCCGAGAGCTTTGTAGGTTGTGCTTGGGCAGCTATGGGCTTTTTTTATTTTTTTCTATTAGACTAATGCTTCTAGCAGTAATTGGTTTGAGAAACCTCGTTCCCAGGCTAAAGGTGAAGTCTGTGTCCTGTGTACTGCTTCGTATGAGCTGCTATTACTGGCTGAATGTTTTATCTTGGACAACAGTTGTCATGATGAGTTTATCATGCCAGATCTTCAATCTCAGATCTGCTGACTTGTGAGAGCAGGACCTCCGACACCATGAGACAGTGTATCCCCCACTTTTGTCCGTATTTAGCTGCTGTGACACCAGTTTGCATTCTGTGTATTTTATGGTGCCATTTAATTAGAACTTAACTGGAGAAGTGATTGATTAAAAGTTACCTGTCCATAAGCATAGACACAGAAAATCTTTAAAGATGGAAAGATAGTAGAAATTCATACTGAAAATTTCTCTGGTTAAATCTGTCCTCATGTTGAAGGCAAAGAGCTCACAGTCCCATCTTTACAAAACCGTTTTCGCCTCTGTTCACGAGCACCAGCGTCTCTGGGAAGAGTGGCTTCATGTCCCAGTACAGGTGCCATGTCATTTTCCAAGTCTTCTCACTCGGTGGGGTGGCAGTGATGTTTTTACTGTGTTACATTTATATCCTAGCTGCTGTGGTGCAGTGCACACAAGTGTTTGGCAAAGCAGGTATGTAGTTGGGGGATGAAATTTGTACCAGATGTGCTGGACAAGCTCATTTACCTGACTTTAGCAGCCTGTGCATTGGGAGCTGGGGGGATTCACCACACACTTTCCTTGAAACATGTCCCTGCCTGGCAGGACTGCTCCAGTCCTGCACCTGAGGCCCTTCTGGAGGGCAGTGGCCCAGGCTGACCCAAGCCTGGCTCACTCCCGTGTGGCAGAGAAGGGCAGCCTCTCCCGAGGAAGGCTGTGTTCATCCAGCCATTCCTCATCAGAGGCTTCCGACTCCATACCAAGTAAAGAGTGATTCCATCTAGAACAGAATGCAGAGATTTGGTCTGTCTTACACAGCATCCTTCTGTGAGTGCAGGTGCCATTATTGGGGTAAGTCACCCTTTGTGTTTACACTTATTCCCATAAGCAACATGTTATTTCCAGTTAATATGTTTCTCTACTTAAATCACATCCTATGCCTGTTGTGTTTTTAGCCAGGTCTTCCAGCTCGTCTTCTGCAAACTTCTCTTTGCAGAGAATCTTAAACCTTTGGGGCCTTATTGATGAATAATTGGAAGGAGGTGGGAAAGTTTCAGTGGGTGCTCCTCTTTTCTCTGCAATTTTGTAGAATCAGGTAGAGCAGTGGGATGCTTTCTAACACTAACCTTAAAGGATCACCCACCAGCCTGAAGTCACTACAGTAGGTCTTGCAATCTTGTAATTCAGGGGTAAAATAAAAGCTTATAAGAAAATTTTTATAGTCTCTTAGGTCACTAATTTTTGAGAGGAGACTTGGTGGAATCTCAAAGTCCTTTCACTTGAGCTGTGTGTTGGTTTGTTTTATGTTTTTTAATGGACTGTGTTCTTGGTCTTCAAAATCATCCTCATCTCTAAGAATAATTTGCATGCCAAGGCAAACCTGCTATCTTTTGAAGTGTGCTAATAACCAGGAGGCTGGTAGAACTGGCTTCCACAGCTCCCATGGTGTAGAAGGTTCCCTTGCAAGGTTACACCTACTCCCCAGAACTCCAGGTGATGAACCAGCAAGTCAGAGAGGAGAGCCAGGCTTGGATGGATCTCAGGATCCAGTTAGAACAACGTGCAACTGTATCTAAATTGCCCTGGACTGGTTTGGAGCCATGGGACACAAAGGGGACTTCTAATACTGCAGTGAGCAGAGCTGCCTGTCATGGGGGAATCTAATCTCTGATCTCATCTCAGCTTTGAATGCCTTTCTCCATATTTTTGATGTAAATGACATTCTTCAGGTTTGTTACTCTTTTTACTTTCCCACCAGTCTGTGGAGTGGATTCACAGAGGACAGATGAAGAACTGTTCTACCTTTAAGATCAAGACTTCACTTTTGATGTTTGGTCAGCAGAAAGAGAATGTCTGTCACTGGAGACTGCAAAATAAATGGGACTACGTTAAGAAACAGAATTGGGCCGATGGTGTGGTACTTAAGACCACATTACAAAATCATGTAATAACTCTATAGAATTTATAGTTTTCAGGAATGCTGAAGAGACTGGGCTGGGTGTTTTCATAGCTATTAAGCTCTTGGTTTACTGCCTATTTTACTGTCTATTTTAAAAGAGCCTGAGATAACAGGCTTCAGGGTTGGATTGAGGTTTGTGATCCACTTCTCTAGTAGATCTGTGTCTGGGTACTTTTCCAGCACACATCCTGGAGCAGATGCTTTCTGTTCACCCCCTTTTTGTCTGAACTGGGACCTTGCTGGCCTAGGCTCAGGGTCACTCCTTCACCTCTGCCCCTGCATGTGGGGTCACAGCTTCTCCTGGACTGCCACCTTGCAAAGTTAGCACTGCAGCTTGCCTCTTCAAGGACACGTGGCATTGCCCAACACATGTCCTGCGTGGGCCTGGCAAATTTTAAATTGCAAATCTACAGCTTGTGCTTCTGCTTCTTGAAACCTTCTTTAGCCTTAATTGAGGATCCTTTAGGTTGTCACAAATCCATTCTTCCACTGCTGCTGGCTTCAAAATACAGGGTCTCTCTATGTCCTCTCTCATCAGTCATTGCCCTTCCAGGTCTCTCTTGTAGTAATTCATTTGAGTTCATTCATCTCTGCGAATGAAAGTTGGCTGAACAGACAGGCATATTAAGGGACAAATTATAATACCAGGTTATTAGGGAGCGCTTTCTATCCAGAAGGTCTAAGCCTTTTCCAGAGGAAGTTGATATTATCTTTTTAATAGATTGTGAAACTGAGGCCAGTGCCCTCTCTGCAGCACTTGGGATGGAGCACAAGTCTCTGACACCCGCTCCAACATGCTACACTCATCATTCTTTTCCTTTTATTTGCATCTCCAAGCACACATCTCCCAGATAGTCCCAGCACTGCCTTCTATTATTTCTTTTTTTATTTCTGTCAGAGGAAAGGAAGAAATTATGCTCTTTTCTCCAGCACGTGTCCTCCGTGGTTTCAGTCAGATGTGTGCTATCACATGGCTTTTCTGGCTCTGCGTGCTTCTCCCAGTCGTTGTTCCAGAGGCGGAAAAACATGCTGGAAGAGTTATTGCTTTTCTCCTTTTTATTTGATGTTCTTTGCCTGTCTCTGCAGAGCCATTTAGATAAGGAGATTTATCAAGCTTGAACTAATTAACCCTGGATGCAGGAAGTCAGAATGGAGTGTTCCAGCTGTGAAATCCTCAGACTTACCCTGAAGCACACTGGGGTCTGAAGGAATTTCACGTCTCTTTTCCCTTGTCAGCAAATCACTGTGGTGAACTTTTGGTGTTGCCTTACTGGACTTCTCTCGCTGGTGTGCCAGGAGGGTGGTTTGTTAGAAGACCTGCTCAGTAACCCAAACTACATGTAGGATTGCATGCAGCATGGGGTGTCTCTCATGTCCTTTCAAGGTTCCTCTTGGATTTTTTTTCCTTTACTGAGAGAGGGTTGATTTTGAAAGAAATCCAGTAATTTTGCCTGTAGGAAGATGTTTTAGAAGTTGTTGCCAGTCACTTTCTCAGTGCAGAACTAGCAGCCAGAGGGTGACTTTAGACGAAAGAAAGGGAAGCAGCTACCTGAAAGGTCAAGATAGGAAAAAAACAGTTGCTTAGTTGACTGCACAAGGAGTTTGTGCCTTCAGAGCCTTCTCCCCCTTGTTTCATGTTGCTGTAGGTCCGATGATTCATAAAAATCTTGGATTGGTGTTTTTTTTGGTGTACCCTGGCTGGTCTTGATGGTATCAGACTGTCTGGGAAGTGCAGCAGGACTCTGATCTCAAGTGTGTCCTCCTGCCAGGGTTAAAGAGTGATCCAGAGAGAGCTTCTGAAACTGATCAGTCACACTTTCATCCTTGTGAAGAATTGCAGTTCCAGATTTATATCTCCTTTTAGCACCAAACCATTTGAAAGTGTCTCCTACTCTGTTGAGAAGGTCAGAAGTGAGGGTAATGAGTCCCCTGATAATGCAGACCTTTCCCGTGAAGGACGAGACCTCTGATAAAAGCGCAGGATTGCAAGTCAGGAGGTGATAAACTCTAGTGGGGATGTTCTTTGCAGCCTTGAAAGAATGCTTAATTTCTGTATGTCTGCTCTGGGCTGCTGGGAGAATAACACTCTCTTGTCCTTAAGCAGTAAAGTGAACATTGTTCTGTTAATATCTAGGAAGTTTGCAGACACATTTAATGATACATATTTTTTTTGCTGGAATTACCTACTTAGGTTATTTTTTCCTTTCTCCCCTGTACATTGCTGTGCAAGCAGAACTGCTTGCTTCTTCATGAACCTGACTCGTGAAATAAAAATAGTCTGGATTAAAGAAAAGAGAAAAAAAGATGGAAAGGTTTTTAAAGCATTATTTCAAGGTGGATTGGCTCCCTGGGCCATCTGCAGTACAGATGCAAAAGTAGCTTGTTCAGCACATGTGAGGCAAGGTGGGTGTTGGCAGGGAGAGGACATGCAGTGAGCAAGCGATACCTTGAGCTGCTGTCGCTGTCAAGAGTGTATTGTTGAACCAGACCCAGATACTCTTGGCCTAGTGCATGTTGACACTGGAGAAGAAGACTTGATATCATCAGGTCATGTTCTCTCTGCTTTGACTGAAAGGAAGGCTTGTATCCAGTATAACTTCAGCCCATGTTCATTATGATTTTTACTGTTTTTTCCAGATTGCCCGGCAGGAAGGAAGAGTCATTTTAACCTCTGGACTCCCATATCAGACTGTAAGTGTTCAGAGCTTCTGGCATTTTTCTGGCATTGTATCATTGTGTGGTCTGGGATGTGCAGTATAGAGAAGAGGAAAAGTTGGATGTAAATGCAACAGGTGGCTTGGCTTTTTCATGTTTTCTGCACTAAAAACTACATTAAGGGTCTAGGGAGGTTTGCTGTTTTGCATGACCAAAGCTCAGGGTGAAGTTTTTTTTATACTCAGTACTGCATCAGTGGGGAGAGCAATTGCTCTCCATTGGAGGTGGGGAGTGGAAAGCAAGCCAAGCAACCCAGAGCAAAGTGTTTCTGTTTGGCAGGTGAAAGGCAGCTCAATTCCCATGCTTTTTATCAGAAAGATTCTTTACTGTTTGCTAACTGGCTCCACACTGACATAGTTTCAACACTTAAAGATGTTTCTTCAGGCTTGGAAGGGAGAGAATGGAAGCCACCAAGCATGGGTCCCAGTGGAACCTGTAGAGGTTTTGTGTTCCTATAGATACAAAAAAAACCAAAGCAAAGTCCAACCTTACCCTCAGCACCAGATGTTCAGAGCCCTTCATGAGTCACACTTCAAAACAGAGTGTTAGTGGGAATATACTGAACTTATCAAGTCAGTGGTTGCAATATTATGATGCCTGCTGGAGGTCCTTTGCACTTTGTTACTGTCAAAAAAATTAATTTGGAAGAGTGAAACTATTCTTTTGCATAGGATTACACACATGAGCCAGAGTGCATGACTTCTTTGTTAGAAACTGTTGATATAAAAGCTCCCAACTACTCAAATAGCTAGTTGGAGTATTAACAGAATGTAGACTGCTGACTTCCTACATAATAGCTGAGAATTGAAGAAAACTCCCTCCATGATGAGACACTGTTAGGCAAGTGCAGCTGTGCCATGCTACAGGTTCCTTATCCAGACTGTGGTTTCTTGAGCCTATAGTTGATGTAATAGGTAATTCAACATCCAGCATAATCTTATTTGGCAAAGCTTTAACTTCAAAGTACTGTGTAGGAACTGCAAAAGGAAAATAACTGCTTCTCAGTGTATGATACTGTCATGGGAGGTGTTTGGTTCCCATTGCATACCCTATGTGAGGACAGGATGGCTCTGCTAGGCTCCCTTACTTGCATGTAGCTGACCCCACCTTGCTGTGAGTACTCATCATGTTCATAAAGATGTGTCTGGAACTTCCCACTGCTGGTTCCCAGATACAAACTTCTCTGCTACATGTGGAACAAACATTGAGGAACTATTCACATCAACCACTTCAAATTTATTGGCCATCAGTGAACTACAGGTGAAATGATATATAAACTAGAAGGGTTGGAATGGTAAAACTGTCATTGGACATCAGCTCCATCATTGTGCTTTTGCATGCTGTGTGTGATCTAGCCAGGTTTCATGTGAAAGCTGTGATTAAATTCAGTTTCTTCTGTTAGCACCACAGTTGAAGGTGATTCAGGCAATCATGTTTCATATATATAGAAAATGCTGCAGTGCTTCAGTAGTTTCAGAGCTATTGCAGCAGTGTCAAAGTGTTAAAATACCAATTGTACTTGTGTTTTGCCAGTTATTAGGCCTAGCATAAAGGACACAGCCAGCATAAAGATGAACCAATAACCAAATGGTATTTGATACCAAAGGGTCAGTACATGGGTGAGCACTGGGGGTAACAAACAAGTCAGGTTATACATAATTGACATCAATCCCACTGACACAAACAACAACACCACAGGACCAACAATGGGTGAAATAAATGGTGAAATTAAGTTTCCCATAGAAAGGACAGGAGACAACTGAGTCAACAAACCAAACACATAAGACCAAGGAAGCCACACACTGAATCTCCACACAGCCCACATTTACAAAAGCCAGACCTGACTGGAGCCCAGTCCCACGGAGGCGGGAGGTCCTTCCCCAGCAGGGAACTCTGCACAGGGCATCCACCTCACAGACAGACACTGCCCCTCCTGCAAGGGGTCCCAGCTTTTATCCCTCAGTGGGACACCTGGCCTTGGGTTACTTAATGCAGACACCCGGGGCTCCTTTACCCAATGGCTCTATCTGCAACGGCTGCACCCTGGAGGGAAGCCTAAAGGTAAACTCATCACCCCTTTGGGAAGGGTTGTGGGAATCACCCGTATGTCAACCTTAATTTGGGGCTTGGGGTTGAAACCCCAGTATTTCAACCCGTTAGATAAAACTTAGGCTGTAAATACATACTAACTCCAAATGTTATTTGTAGTTAAAACCAAATGAAGTGTATTAGGGAAAGCCCCACACATCGTGGTGCATGGAGTGCCTCATTTATTGTCATTTTGGTTTATGCCTTGTCTTTCGAAGCTGCAGTCCCAGGTAGCAGAAGGAAAGTGTTTCTCCGTGAACTGCTCAGAAAAGGCAAAAGAACAGGCCCTGCAGGTTCTGAAGCACTTCAACGTTCAAGTATCCCTGGCGGATATCTTCAGCCGCTGCCAGGTAGGACAAGGCTTGTTTGAGTTAAAGTTCAAGCTTGCTCGCTGTTTCATGCACAGCAGACACTACTTCAGCTTTTTGGGTCTTGCACTCAGTGTCTTCCACTTGGTTCCCAAGATTTCTGCTTGAACTTTGGCAACATCTTACAAAGCTGTGAGGAGTTCTGAGTGTGCTCAGAGGTGTTGATGACTAAGTCAGAAGAGCAGAGGCACTTCATCTGGAGCTTTGCTAGAAACTCTGCTGGTTTTCTGATCTTTGGTACTTGGCTTGTGTTTTGGCATTGGCTATCATGATTATAGTCTCTTGTTGCTGTGTTCTCTGTCGAGGACACATGCTGTTTTAATTATAAACCATGTTTAATTATGGTGCTCTGATTCTGATAACACTTAATTACTTTAATAGGAGGATTTTTTTTTAGGACTGTTTTTTTTTTTTTTTTCCAGAAGCTATTAGGTTAATTCATGTCCATGCTAGTTGATGATTCCAGATTGTGTTTGGCACTGGATATCTGTGGATTGTTGTTAAAAAGAATTTTTAATTGTGTTAGCTCAAATCTCCATCTCTTCCAATTTCACTCTTGTATTTGTTACAGTAACACGCTGAAACCTATCCCTTAAAAACTGTAATATAAACCAACTTGCAACTTCAACACCTCTCATCTTATCAGGGTTTAAAGAAAGAAAAAGAAGAAACTGCAAATCTGGCTAGAAAAGGAGCTTTCTCTGAGGAATAAACAAGCCAGCTGAGCACTTCAGTGAAATCTGGCTCAGTGCCTTGCGGTTGAGCTCGTGGGGTCTCCTGGCCTGGTGGAACTGCACAAGTGTTGTAGGAATAGCAATGACTTCTGGGCAGACACACCAGAGAGCATTTTCTAGACCTCTGCTTATATCTGATGTCAGTTGTTAAAACTGTATCTGTAACTTACAGAGAAAATGAGAGTTGTCCGGCTGTGCAGGTTGTCTATGAGGAGAATGATGTAACACCATGCAGATTGGATCACATAATATGGATTGATTTTACTTCAGGATAAATGTGTATATTCAGATATAAGATACTGCATTCTGTCCTGCGGTTTTATTTATCCAAGAACATGTTGCATTTGTCATATGGTGGCACACTGGCTTCTTTGCTGTTTTAAAAAAGCCTTTATAAAAAACCTTGTTGATTTTCCAGTTCCCTGAGATCCCATAAAATAGCAGTGTTCTTCCTGATTGTTATTGTTGAAATACCACAAGAATAAGCAGACAAAAAAAAAAAAAAACCACCAAAACCTCATGCTGCAGAAAACTCTGTAATATCTGTAATAAATGCAGAAGACTCTGCAGCATATGATACAAAACTGACCCTTTGCCCATGATCTGGAGTCTGGAACTGTTTAACTATATAGCTTTTTAGTATGTGCTGTCTTAGTTTACAATATAAATAGGGGTAATCAATCTGGCTAGGAATATATACTGTGTGTTCTCTTACTTCCAGGAGAAATGCCTTCCCTGTAAATTGTGGTGGTAGAACAGCTGCATGTTTTATACCGCTCGGCATGAGAAGGTGCTATTATTTGTCAAACTACTCTGTGTTCTGAATCATATATTTACCTACGTTTAAAGCTTTGGCATTTTAGAGCTGATTTTGTTCAGCTGTCCCCTACAGACTGTACAAGTTGCTGTTGTAGGGGAGGAGAACCAAAGCTCTTAGAGCCGCACATGGCGGGGTACCCGTGCTGGGCCCTGCGGCGCTCAGCACGTCTGTGTGTGAGGGGGGAGCAGCAGGCTGGGAAGGATCATGCTGCAGAGTACTGACTGCCCATGGAAAAAATGCCAGATTGCTCCTTTAAGAGGGTGCTCTGAGGCCACTGTGGCCAACAGAGACCTCAGCATTTCAGTTGTAACTTCTTTCTGCAAACCTAATTGGACTTTATTAGGATGGAGGCTACATCCTGCAAGTGCTGAGCTGTGCCTTCCATACTGCCTGTTCTGGTCTTTAACTGGGTTACAGACCTCAGGGCTTGCAAACTGCTTTGAGGTCTGCCGCCTCTTTGCAGAAATGTGCATTGCTAATGGATGACCAAGGATTTCGGCTCTCCTGTAGCAGGGGAGTGCTGGTGGCCTGCAAGTCGGGGTCTCCAGAAACACCCAAGTGCTCTCAGAAGGAAGAGGACAGATAATCCTGATCCATAACCTGGGCCGCTCTCCTCCCGCGCCTTCGCCGAGCTCGCAGCCGGTGTCTGAGCTGGGCCGGGCAGCGAGGGGCAGCCCTGGAGCCGAGTTATCGGCCGCCATCAGCCGCTGTAGATAAACGTTTTCTGTGTGTCACAGGAAGCAATGTGGCATCCTGCCTGACTCTGCTGTCTCGTGGAGCAAGGGCTTGTTTTGTCTCTCGGGCTTCTGTTCTGTAAATGATTTGAGTGAATATGTCAGCAAATATTGTTGCTGTAACAATTAATGTGTGTAGTGCAGTGCACACGGTAAAAATAGGTCCCAATTCAATGTTGTACCCAAGGTTGCTGTAAAATATGTTTCCTCTGTCAGCTCCCTCAGCAGGGATGGACAGTGACTCTTTTGCAGATATAAAGAATGGGCTTGCTTTGTAACCCTGCTAAAATACTGCCCTTTTCTGTTAAAACAATGGCAAATACCAGTTACCTCTGTCTGACTTAGAGCAGCAAGTGCATGGAGAATTTCACCCCTGGGCTTCTCAGCCTTTTTTCTCTCAGTTGTGCTGGGCTTCAAATTGGTTGCTCTGGTTAAAAGCTCCAAAAGTGGAGACTGCTGCTGGCTGTGTCAGTTATGCCCTGCCCAGTATGATCTTCTTGTTACATGTGTCTCAACTGCTGCATCTTAAGGACTCCGTGATGGTCATAGAGAGACCACCTGTGTACAGCAGCTTTAGCCAGGCCTGGTGTTGCCTTTGTTGAGGAACATTTTAGGGGGGCTGAGTGAAAATAAAATGAGTTCTGTCTTTTGGTGACATACAGAAATACCCTGAGAAGTCCTACGTTTCATAGCCTTAAAATAATTTGAAATAAATACATTTCCTGTATTTGAAATCCAAATGTCTTTTGTCTGTCACCTCTGCACACATTTAAATATCTTGTATACAGCTTTTTTCCTTTTCAGGTATCCAAAAGTAGCTCCTTCAGAAAGGGGTGATGTGAAATGCATGGTGGAAAGTGTTCTTACGTGATAAGTTCAGCACATTGGTCCCTTACACAAGTCTTTGTGGAGTTGTCTGGGGCTGTTGTAAGCAGCCTTAGGGTCAGCCAGCAAACTGGCTCAGGTGGAAGATCAGTGATCCTCTGCTTTTGACATCTTGGAGCAGGTTCTAACACGGAACTTGCATTTAAGAAAGGAAAAAACCCAAAACATGTGGGGCACATGTTTTTTGGGGGAAAAAACCCAAAACATGGGGGCACAGGTCTGTCCATTCAGGGAGGAGGTCATCTCCCACCCCTCCTGGTGCCGCGGTCACCCTCACTCAGATGTGGTGTCCGTGCGTGGGACATGCCTGCGCCTGCTTTGACACTCAGCTATGGCCTGCTAGGACAGCAGGAGGACGTGAACTCCATTTCAGTCTCATAAATAAACTCTTGCAAACAGACATGTTTTGGCAGATACTACCTGGGTGACTGTTTGGCTACTTCCATATTGCTTTTCTGTGCCGTCTGACTGACAATCCATCGGAAGCATGTGCAGGCTGCACCTACTGACCTGGCAGTGTGCACCCTGCCTCTTCATCTACTGTCTCTCCATGAGCCCGAGCTACCCAGGATGTTTTGCTTTCTTTGGGTAAGGTATGGTGTCTGGTCTAGCCGACTTCTTGTCAATGAGAAAACACTTGTGTTGAAGAAGATAAATTCAGGTAAGGGGCTGGCAGCCCTCCGTTGTGAGTAATGCCGCTCTGTGCAGCACTGACAGGATGAAATTACAGTTTGAATGGTGATAAACTGAGGAGATAAACAGTGCAAGTTGTTAGCTTTAAATCTTTATATCGCAAGTGTTTGTCATGACCGTTTGAAGGGAAAACAGCGTGTTCAGTGTTGGTACAGGATCACCGATAAATTACTCCCATTATAGAAGAACCTTGTTGTTAAAGGTTTATAACTCTGCTGTAAAATTCTTGCTGGTTTGAGTCTCTGCAGACAGATTTGGAGCAGAAGGGCCTGTCTGTCTTCAGAAAAGCTGAGTTGTGCTTTACTTGAAGGTGTAACTGCTGCTCAGCTCAATTTTGAGTCCAAAGTTTTGCTCTTGTACAAGGGGAGGGAGTGGGCTGGGGGAACTGGGTCCTGTGATGTGTTGCTGTGCCACCTCCCTGCCTCCCTTTGGCCTCTCTTTCCTTTCCCACCCTCTGTTTGACTTGACCCTTTAGCCTTTAAGCTGTCTGGGGCAGGGACCCTGTTTGAACAATACCTAACGCAATGGGTGGCTGATCCCAGGTGAGGTTTGAAGGTTTTCCTGCGAGGAAAAATGATTGCAGTTATATCCCCTGCAAAAATAAATGTGCAGGGAAAAGAAATCTCAGGCTCCAGCTGCAGTTTCTGCAACTGAACAGCCCTGCATTTGTTACAGGATTATCTGCAAATTCAAGTTAAGTTGTCTCTTTCACTTCACTGAATGCTGTGATCCTAAATAAGCAAATTACATCACCTATTCTGATGTCCTGTTTAACTTATGACCTCAGCCTGAGCGTTGCAGGATGTGAGAGATAGCTGCTTTATTTCATTGTCTGGAGATCAGATATCTGGTTTTTTCCCCCTCGCTTCCCTGCTCTTTCAGTTTCAAAGCTGCTCACCCCAGCCTTTTAGAAAGGTGTTAGCATGGGATTAGGAGTCGGTGGGAAGGAGGGAGGGGAGGAAGAGAGGAAACCACCATTTTTTTTTAAATTAGGTACAAAAGTGTTCTAACAGTTGCAGCAAATGTTTCTGGTTTTTTGTGGTTAAGGTAACGAATTTCATTGCTGCAAAGCTCATCATGTGCAATCTGATTTACGCAGAGGGAGCCCAGTATGGA